GTTGGAAATGCGGCCATGATTTGAATGGGGCCTATATAAAAATATGGATACTTTTTTTTACATTTTTTTAATTTTTTTCCTTGAAGTTTGTTTCTTACCCACCTAGAACCCAGAATGCCAAATAACAGTTACTTCGGTTGAATGATGAGCCTAAGGACGTAAAAGAAATTCCTAATAGGCGTGGAAGTTTCGTATGAGGGCTATTTCAAAATATTGGTTCTATATTGAAGATTTTCTGCCAAGAAGATTTTTAGCCCCCAATAAACTAGTAATCTCTCTTTGGACCTGATTGACAATTATCTAGGAAAAAGTTCTTTAACCCACCAAGAATCCACAATAAAATAATAAAAATTATGTTTATTCTGAAAATGGGACATGAATTATTCCATTTTAAATAGTTAGCTTCCTATTGCAATTTCCAAAGACTAGCCAGGGGTGTCAGATGAATATTCCAAATTGTTACAAGCGGAATGTACATAAACACGTGCCGGAAGAACCAGTTCGAATTTACAATACTTCTTAAGCAAGCCTTTTGGACAAGTGCGATAGAAACGGCACCCTTTTTTTGCGACCTGGCCCTCATTTTTGTACCCTGATCGGAAAAGTTTCGTTAGCTATGTGAATGCTACTATAGAAGAAAACTAGACAACAGTGCATTGATGAGAATGCCTTTGACATTTCATGTAAAAATTACAGAAAGTCTTAATGGAGAAATCTTGCAGAAATCTTCAAGTGGCAAAAGTCGTTAAAAAAATTGTAATCCAGATTTAAAAAAATGAGATAGATATCCCCAATATGTCTCCCATTAAAAATATCAATAAAGCCATTCTTATATCAAAAAAAAAGTGTTCTGTATACCGATCATTTATATATAATATTTTTAAATGGAAAAGAAAATTAAATCACAAAATTGCAACTCCGACGTGGAACGTGATGTCGTGGTCAGTGTCATTCAGCATAAGTTGAAACTTAATGGTCAAACCAAAAAATGACTTTGGCTTGTGGTGGTGTTTTTTGTTCGTGCTGATGAACATGAACAACGCGTCCACAATAATGAAGATCAAAATAATAACGATGATGATGATGATAATGATTATGGCGATGGTCAACTTAAGTGCCATTAATGGAATTAAGGCAAACACCAGTAGCAAGCCATTCCATTCACATTAAATGTGGCAGCAACAGGCTAAAGAAGAAATTCATTTAGTTCGGTTCGTTTTTTTATTTTGGGTTTTTGGCTTCTAGGGTATTTTTCCAATACATGGATTTTTGTTGTTGGTATTGTTTCTTTTTTTCGTTAAAAATTACTATACTTAACAACGAGGAAGGCCCAAAACGAAACACATACATACATATGTGAATATATTCGATTTATATGATTATATGTATATTTTATGACCGACAAACAGATATACGGACAACGGAGTTTAACGTACAACACAAGTCAACTGCCACTGCTACCGGTGTTACGTCCAACAACCATATAATGACCATCATTAACATACATAGAGACCCTCAGACAAAAATGAAGAAAATAATGAAACATATAAACATAAGATGAACATCAGCAACAGCTCCAACAACCTAGAGGCAAAGCCATCGTTTACCAATGGAAATCCAAATGTTTGAAGTAGAAAAAGGTAAAACCCGTCCTAATCATTGATTTCCATGTGGTGACCACGTTGTTATTGATGATGAAGATGACAGAAAAAAAGCGAAAACAAAAAGACGATTATGGTGACCATGGTGTCGAAGATGATAGTAAGCATAGCTTGGGGTTCTGAAGCTTAGGAGTAAACATTTGGAAGTTTTGTAAATGATTTTTACACACACACATATATATAAACAATCAAAAAATAATATCATACAAGAATTTCCATTTCATAAACATTCCACTAAACCACGATAATGACAACCATCTCCGTTTAACAAAGTGACAAATACATTGCATACCTTAAGGGGCAACACGACAATAACCATCAGTGATGTTCACATGCTTATATTTAGGCGATTATTTATTAAAAACAGCTGATAAATCTATTTATTTTTCACAATACTTATCTTGAAAGTGCTCTAAGAAATCTTTAGATTTTTAAGGGTTTGTGTTTGTTCAAAAAAATAAAATGGTAAACATTTTGAAATATATCGTAATATGTTTTATATAAAATCATACCTTTTAATATAAACTATTCAAATAAAGCTATGAAATATTTAATTCTGTCTCAAATTTAAAAATATTTTCATTGTTAAATTGTATTTTCATATAAAATTCTAATTATTGCTGTAATTATAATTATTAATATTTACAAATCCAAAAAGTTACCTTTAATCCTGAACATAACCTACATCTGTATACCTGTAAATATATAAGTGTGTGTGTTGATATTTTATCTATGAACAAAAAAATCTCCTACTATATTTAAACTTAATGCACTGTTATAAAAATAACATTACTATGTATGAAAAAAATGTATACTACACTTAAGGACCCTATAAGGATCCTTGTTATTTGATTTTAAAGTACTTTACGGAATGTGTGCAAAAAATAACTGTCCCCCATAAAGAAACTATTTGAACAATGTTAAATATTTGTATTTTATTTAAATTGAACTTTTCTTGGTTTTTGGTATATAATGCACACATAAACAGGGTGCTATGTGTGCTTGTATGTTTAGAACATTTTGTTGGTGAAAACTTAATTCTACAGTATGTTAAAAAAGTGTCAGATTTATATATCTGTAAAGATCATTAAAAGGCAGAAGACAATACATCGAAGAGGTCTTCATTAAAATATTAAAATATATTACCTTTTAAATAATGGTTTTCAAAATTGCTATGGGTGTATGTGCGGGTCAATTGAATATTTCTCTGACTTACACATAGAAAACAGCTGGGGGGAGGTACCAGAAGGAGTGGACCAATGGTCTCATCTTCGGACTCGATTTATATATACTGAAAATGTTGACCATTTGTGGTTCAATTCTTCGGGTTTGGTTCGAACCGCTTAGACCGTTAGCATAAAATTAATTTTCAGCAAAATGTTGACCATTTTGTGTGGGGAGGTATCAGAAGAAGTGTACTCATCTTAAAACTTGAACTATGGAAGAAATATTACGATGTGCAAACTTTGAATGAAATCGGTTATTCCCTTCGAGAGTTATTGTGCCCACTAGCCGGCAGGACATCTGTAAATCGACTCCAAATTATCTGAAACGGATTTGGTCCCAAGAAACATTTGGTCTGAAACCAGTATTTTTTGCATTTACCCTCATTAGCCATAAAGTTGATTGTATAAAAATAATAAGTTGATAAGATATTGTCTTCAGAAGAAACAAATGTCCCTCTGAAAGTGTAATTGCCAATTTCAAAAACTCATGACGATATAGCTTATTGATTTCAGAAGCGCCGGAGACGTGTTTTTATTAACCGGGACCTTTATATTGGGTCTTTGTCATTGCAAATTGTCTGTCTATAGTTTTTTTTGTTTAAAGAAATGGTATTATATTCAAAATTGTAAATATGAGTCCCACCCTCTAAGAATTTGCAATATAAAATTATAGCCCTTTCGGTTGGAAAAATGTGGGTAAAAAGATTAAAATGTGGAAAGTGGGGCGGTGACGAAGTACACAATACCATGATTGGACATGTTCTCTATAAAATTATGTGGGAGATTTTGGGCCTTGGGTCTCCTTTAAAAAATACGTGTACCAATAAACCGAAAAAAACTGTAATCTACAGGTTCCTTGGTGATATCACCTTCGGGACTAAACATGGCGAATATCTTCCTTTATTCTTCAACTCTTCCAACTACATAGCATTTAAAATCTTAAAGAATCTGTTTAGATCGTCTTTACGATGGCGTACACCCTTCAGGATACATGTAAATCTAGAGACATTTTACAGATAATTGAACACACCCTCCTCTAACTTTCCTGTCTCAGGCGCCACTACACAAACAAAACGCATTCAAGGATATTTAAAAATATCTACAAAATTCTCCTTTAAAAAAATAATTCTTATACACTTTTTAAACACTGTATTATCTTTTTTCCTCTTTTCATTAGACTATTTAAATATTTAAAGTTTTGTAAATTGTGTAAATATCATGACCCTTTTTGGCATGGTAACTCAATGAGCCGAAATACATTGTGGGACATTTATTTACTATCATCGTCTGATACCTAAAAATGGTAAAAAAAGATGTTTTAAAAGAATACTCCGGAGAAATCACGTCCATTCATATTTGCCTTGTGCTAAAAGAAATACACCCCAAAAAAATAAAGGTCCATTTATTTGACACTTTACGACCAACACACACATCTAACCTCCTTTTTTCCGGTGATAAAAGCTATTCTTGCTTAAGAGTGGTTGTAAAACTTAACAAAAACAAAATGTGATATCGCATTTGCAAGTGAATAACTTAACATATGTAAATACATACCGACAAAAATCTACACATGTGTACATAAAGCTTACATATATACAGATAACATGTTGAATATTTCAACAAATGTAATCCCTCTGACCAGGGTACAAAAACGAACAGACACAGGTTTGGTAGAAATAGTCACAAAGATGGTTATCATTGTGTTGTAGAACAACAACAATAACACAACATGGACATGATTGACCATCGTTGTAACTGTTGTTGTTGTCGAGGTTTTTCTTTGTATTCTAAAATTGGAATTTGAAATAAAATTCCATGTAAAATCACAAAGCACATAAAACGCCCTCCTGTCCTCCACAGGATACCTTTCACATTTTGTATAGAATTTTATTAAAAATGTGCCATTGAAAATTACAATACATGATTTTATTTGCATATCAAACATACAACATGTCCCACGCGCCACTCATCACATCTCGGCTGAAGTGGACAACAAATGTTGTTACATTTTCATTAAAAGTTATTTTTAAAATTCACAATTTACAATGGTGATATAATAGAAAATTGTATTTATTTTAACCCCTTGTCCTCCTCTCTTGTTGTATATTTACAGAACTCTGAAGATGATTTGCCCATTTGCGCCCCCAATGCGGTTTGTTCGAAAATCGATTTATATGAAACACCATGGATCGAGAGACAATGTCGCTGTCCTGCTGTTAACCGCTCACCAGAAATTATCATTCATCATCATCACAAGGACACAACATCGCATTCCAATCACAATTCCGAAAAATATCACACTTTCTATGAACATTCCAAACTAATGCATCAACAGCAGCAGCAGAATAAACATTTGTTGTTGGACGCTGCCAGTTTTGTGGGCGACAAGAAATTCGATAATTTACACTTGAAGAAATTAATGCATAAATTGGGTGCAGTCTATGAGGATGATTTGAATTTGCCAACAGACTATCATAAACATCATCCGGAAACTAATTCGGCCTTAGATGATTCAAATGAGTCGTCGTTGTACTACACAGATGAGCTGAAGGATAATGAATTTCCCATTCATTTTTCGATGAAACGTCAACATTTATATTCCAATTCACCACATATGAGACATTCCGGTCATATGGGTGGTAGTCATGGTGGAAAGATTTCCTATATTGGTGGTTGTCCCAGTGGTTTGGGTATTGAAGATGGTCATACCATAGCTGATAAAACGCGGCATTATAAAATGTGTCAACCCGTTCATCGATTGCCAGTTTGCAGGTAAATAATAATATTTTCTAGAAAATTTGGAAAACAAATATTAATTTTTATTATTTTTATATTAGGCATTTCCGGGACTACACCTGGACCTTGACCACATCGCCGGAAATGAATACAACCGAACAAATTGTCCATTGTCGATGTCCGAAAAATTCCGTAACATATTTAACAAAACGTGAACCTTCCGATGATGGTAATGGTGGTTATAAATATTTGTTTGCGTGTTCACCATTGACGGTAAGTTAGAAATCGGTCAATTTTGTATAAATAGAAAATATAAATATAACGCATTTGTTATTGTGTGCTGCATACTTTTAGGAAGTACAGATGATATGCAAAAGATATAAGTTAGCTGTAAAGGCGAGTTTAAACTGTTTTTAGATTTATAAAAGGCGAGTTTATAGCATCAAAATGATACAAAATTGAGTGGTCAGCTGTTATTTGTTTACGTATACATAAAATCATAATTAGCTAAACATCATATGATACTTTTAGGAAGTACAGATGATATGCAAAAGATATAAGTTAGCTGTAGCTTAGATTGAAGGCGAATTTAAACTGTTTTCTAAGTCGACTCCATTTATATCTCTAAGTACAAAAAATTCCATCTTTTTAGACTAGCATCAAAATGATATAAATTTGAGTGGTCAGCTGTTATTTGTTTACGTATACATAAAATCATAATTAGCTAAAAATCATATGATTAGCTAATAAATGTAATGTTACCCCTAAAAGTATGCACAATACCTTTCACAATGCATTAAATTGTTATGTACACCAAATAGTTTTCTATTACTCAATCTTTTACCCCATAAATTTACTTAAATATTAATTAAATCATTTTTATTATATTTCTTCTACAGCGTCTTCGTTGCCAACGAAAACAACCTTGCAAATTATTTACGGTGAGAAAGCGGCAAGAATTCATCGATGAAGTCAATATCAATGCCCTGTGTCAGTGTCCCAAGGGTCATCATTGTCCCAGTCATCATACGCAATCCGGTGTAATCGCTGGCGAAACATTCCTAGAGGATAATATACAAACATATTCTGGCTATTGTATGGTCAACGATTGAGAGTAGATGTTCGGATGACCAGCAAGCAGCAAGCAATCACCAGCATCATACCATCTATACCTGTTAGAATAGAAAATAGAACGCGCGCGCAAGATAATGATTTTTTCTGAGAAAATCGTTACATTGTTGTCATAGACATTGTTTAAGTTGTAGGGATTACGTTTTATGTTTTTAATTATTTTTAAAAATTGAATTGTTCTAAGTTATGCGGACAGACGGACAAAAACACACACACACACAATTAAAGGGCTGGAAGAAAAACAAACGAATAATTTTGAACAGGTTCAAAATGTTTTAAGTTCATTATTATTTTATTAAAACAAATATATATGAAAAACATCAAGTTTTTTTAACGACTGAGCCATTAGAGTCTCAATCCTTAAAAACAAAAAGAAGAAGCAGAAGAAAACGTATAGAAACCAACAAACGCACATCTACATGCATCTTAACTATGAAAAAACCAAAATTTCTCTAAGTGTAAGCCTTGTTATTTAAGTTTTATATAAACAACAAAAACAAAATACGAATACAAATATTGATATAAATTTTAAACAAAAGTCTATTTAACTGCTATAAATATCTATTGCAAAAACGAAAAACACAAACATTTAAATACCAACAAATATTTATTACTCTTGTATATATAATTTAATGCGATAATAATATAAATAAACATAATTTATATAAATAATAATGCCTACGAAAACAAAAACCCGAAACAATGTATAGAGGAAAAACACAAAAACTTACTAAATTGTAATTATTAATTAAAACAAAACGAAAAACAACAAAATCTTCCGTAATTTTTTTACTCCACGAGTGCCAAAATAAACAGAAAATTATTACAAAACAAACACACACACACAAGTATATTTTTTTATTGCTAATCGAGGAATTTGTGAGGTTGGAAGGCCACAGCTGTTTTAATATTTGTGACTGACTTTTTTGAAAATATCGATGTTTATATATTTACTGTGCAAAAGGGGGTAGAAAATTCCTCATGGGCAAGAAAGACCTTGGCGAGTATACATTGAATCCAAAAGGACAAATTGGCCATAGGTCAAGGGTTTGAGTTATGGCGTGATGTGTTTTTTCATGGCAACTTTAAAGTTCATGAAGAAAGAGTTTTATATCTTTGACAAATCAAATGAGAAAGTTTTTTTTTAAACTATATCAAGTCTTTGTGTATATTTTTCGACCTTATTTTTTACCTCTTACCTTTCTGTGAAAAATTATAGCGGCAACAATATTCACATATATATTTTCATCCGATTTCAGGTTTAAGATGCACCAAATCGGTAATATACAACGGATGGCGATGAAATTTGGTTGGTATAATTTTTTTTGAGTCTGCAAATAAGAGTGTCGAATTTGGAAGAAATCGGTTCAGATTTGGATATGGCTCAAATATATATGTTCTATCCCATTTCACGTCTAAGTAACTCAAACCCACAAAATCCATTCGATCAATGTAAAATTTAATTTGAATGTTTTTTTATAGGCTAAAAACCACTCAGAAAATTTTGTTTCAAATCGGGCCCGATTTAGATATAACATCCATATATATGTTCCATCCGATTTCACGTTTAAACCACGCCAAAATCACAATATACACACGATCATAACGAAAATCAGAAATGTCTCAGCGAAATTTGATTCAAATCAGATCTGATTTAGATATAGCTCTCATATATATGTTCTATCCGCTTTCATCTTAAATCACTCGTTTGCATTATACCACCATTTTGAAATGTTTTATTCTAGAAGGCAAGCTAGAGCTTCATCCGCAGAAAGTGCAATAGGCTTTTGGGGTTCTTGGGGTGTCACGTTTCTTAGTTGAAAGGTCAGTAGCTTGTTTTCTTTTACCAAATTCAACGTTTTTATTAGGTGCCGGTTTTTTTTCCGAACAATTCTTAAGCAAAACATTTAAATCCGAATATAGCCATTCATGATTTTTGTCTTTGAAAATATTCATGTTTCTCTGTGACCTTTTTACCAAATTTGCGATAATTTTCAGCAAAATAAATGAACTGTTCTCTCTTTCATCCAAAATGTTGTCGACATCAATTTTGCTCATTAATGCTTAAAAACAGCATCAGTTTTTTTCTTTTTGTTGTCTTCTTTTCGCCATATTTCAAAAAGATCGATCGGAGGTTGACTAGAAAAAGAGGCATTACTCGCAAAACGCAGAAAATCGCAACTTGAAACAAATTGAAAATAACTCATTAGTTATAACTTAATTTATGTGCAAAATTTCAAATAGGTCATATTGAGTCATTTTTTTTAAAGTTTACTGAAAGTCAATATATCAAATTACTTTAACTCTTTAAAGTCTTCATAGGCTAAAGGGTTATTTTCAAGTATAGTGTCGCAAACATAAAAATGTTTTGATTGAATATAAATATGCTCACTTGTATCTATTTTTTCCATTTTACACTAATTAATTATTGTAAATACAATCGAAATAATACGCACTCAAAGTTGACTAAGCACCACAGGAATATAAGCATATTTATAGAATAAATTGTACTGAGCGACTTCCACGGCCAGATGTGTAACGGTATTTCACATTTAGCACTAATAAAAATCACGTCTCTATATTTTGGAGTGTTCTAAATAGAAAAACAACAACAACAACTCGTGAAAAGCGACACTTTGATTTTTTTCAATTTTGCACAGAAAAACCGGTCGTTTGACCTATAGTGTAATGTACCGACCTATTTTCGGTAATTTTGATAATTTTCTGCATATGTGCCAGCCTCCAAAAACGAGCCATGTGATATTACAATCAATTCTATTAAAAAACGTCCCGGACCTCTCTCTGGAGGCTATCCCGAAACACGGCCCAATATTGATAATTCTTGGTATGGAGATTTCCTGCCTAATGAGAATCCAAAATATCAAATTGAAACCACTTCGGTTGAATAACGTTCCTAATGTTACCAAACCAACGAATAATTGATGTTCCGCTGTGATAGGCAGATTTTTTCCAATGAAAATCCAAAATATCAACCAATTCGGTTGGAGCTAGCCTAAAAAGAACAGATATATTTCAATACCAAAAATCCTAGGAATATAAGCAATGTGCAGAATTTCAAAGATCTGTCATCAATATTTCGAGCTATATCGTTATTTAATCAGACAGACGGACATGGCTAAATCGAAATAGAATTTTATTCTGATTATGAATAAATGGATATTAGGTGAATATTTCTAGGTTTTGCAAGCAGATTTTAAGAAATACAGATTTCATTCTTAGCTCTAAGCGAAATTCCTTCTATAAACTTTTTAGCACTTTTATTTGACACTTGTTTTACATTTTTTAGCACTTTGTAGCATTTTTAAACCGGGATGAGGAAGAATGTTCTTTTGAGCAGGAATAATTTCTCCTCGGAATAGTTATGAAAAAGCCCAAAGAAATAAAAAAACAAAATATTTTAGAAAAATAATTTTCAACCAGTGAGCGGAGCAGTATAATCGGACGGGGTCGACCACAAGTTCTACGAAAACCTAGCTTTCTGTGGCACTACATTCTAAGCTATGGTAAAATTTCGCGATATTTGCACCCTCTTGACCGACTAGAGGTCAACAAATATTACTAATATTCAGTAATGCTCTTCTAATTACTTGTCCATATTCCTTTCAACGTGGGTTGTGTTCTGATGTTCGGCTTTTAATTGTGGCCTATAGATCGACTCGAAAAAAACACACAAATTAAGTTTTCGGTCCACTTCATCCCACTATTATTATCTGATGATCATCGAAAATTATAGGCGTTCTCCTTGACCATACCTGGATCCTCGTGGAAAATTTCGTAATGGGTTACTAAATAATATCTGAATACGTAAACACGTGTAATTATTTAAGTGTAACTCCCACATTCGAGTTCATGCGAAAATACAATTTGTATCAATTTAAAAGTCAAGCACTCCTCTTGAATATACTATCAACTTCTCGGGTCGATGTCCTTCAGGAGTAAATATATACGCTATAGAATACAAATTTTGTAATTTTTCACACAAAAGTCAGGGTCCATTTAACCCGCTAAATATTGACCGATCTTTATCAACACAGGCATGCTTATTCTTTGGCCCGATCCCCTTCTCCATGTAAAATTCCGCGATGTTCGGACCATAATTGCGCCCTCTGGAGCTACCAGAAAATCAGACAAAAATAAAGTTTTTGGTCCATTTCATGCCTTAAATATTAACCGATCTTTATCAAAAACAATAGGGGTCTTCATTGGCCAGAACCCATCTTACATCCACAATTCGTGAAGATTGATCCATAACTGCGGCCTGTATCGTGTTTACAACTTATAATGGACAGACGGACGGACACACATGTCTAGATCGACTCAGCTAGTCGAGATATGACGATCGGTATACTTAAAGGTGGGTCTAGGACCAATATTTCACGGTGTTACAAACTCTTGGGTCTGCACAATGCTATAATACCCTGACAACATAGTTGTGTAGGGTATAAAAATGACAGAATTTTATTGGTTAAAATTCGGTATAGAATTTGGAAGCGAATCTTACCAAGAACAGTGTTGTTTGCTGGTTAGTATAAAAGTAAGTTTATTTACAATGAAAAAAAGGGAACAACCATTGGTAAACAGAAAACATTTGCATGTAGTACCAAAAGAGAGATTCATATTTAGGCGAATAGAAGAAAAACTTGAAAATAGAAAATAGGGTGACCAGCGTGGTTAACCAAATCAGTGATTTCTCGAATTATAAGTTGAGTTTATGCAACTATATCATCGGAAAGCCAGTTTACCTTTCACAAAAGTTCATATTAATTGGAATTCGACTCAGTGGAAAAATGAAAGGGTCATGTCACAGTACTGAATAATGGTATTGGGCTCTTTTTCTTTTATGGAGTTTGATATATTTACGAGATGTATGAAGTAATGATTGAATTGTTTATACAAAATGAGTTGGAAAACGCTATGGCTCCCTTCACTGAAGGATATATATCGATTGTTTGGGTGTTTCAACTTGACAATAACCTCAAAAAAACCCCGAAGCATGTTAAAAATTTGTTGCGGTAGTCAAGAATCAGGGTTTTTATAGAAAAATGTTTGGAGTATTATAGATAGCAAAAACAAAAGAGATCCACAAACTAACAAACAAATCTCTTCCCATAGGTTCATGATGCGAGGAATAGTA